AAGTTAGGATCGGTTGGTCCCGTTAAAGTTAGCTTGTTAGGATAATGCTAGGTAAATTACAATTTATTAGCGTGGGCTAATTAAGAAATGTAGGTTAAGAGTTTCGCTATACCATTAGGCATTTAGTTGGAATCTTCCCAAAAAATTTAACGATTGGTATAAATGCAAATGTATTAGATATCACGTCGATATGCCCTTCTTTTAGTTTTTTCTGCGAATGAAACTATGGATCCTGCTGCTCCTTGAACTTATTCGTAATACATATATTCCTCTTTGCAACAAAAGCGTATATTCCCTAAATGACACTACTAAAAATTAGGAAAGTACAATGTTAGGGGATTTTTTAAATCTATCTATCACTGAGATAAGTTCAACTGATCAATACGCTCAGTTAACTTACGAAAGTAAATGAATTTCTTATGTGACCTATAGTTCTGTTATAATAAAACATAGTTGATGCTTTGTTTAACAATGGCAATATCAGAATTCTATGAATTGAAATAGGTATCTACCTTATTCAACATGCAATTAAGGCGCAATTTGCTATAAATACAGGATGTCCGCATGGTGAAAACTTCATCTATGTTTTTTATCTGTTTTTTCAATAAACTGATATTATTATAATGTTATTATAATTATTTAAAAAAGAAGTTAAAAACCCATAAAAAATGAAGTTTGTATTTGTATATTGTATTTAATCGCATTGATCGAAATTATATCATAACATGATTTCAATAGAAAAGTAGTATATTATTTATCAAGTTTTATAAACGGCACGTGTCTTATGTTAGACACAAACGGACCGAGTGTTTAATAACGAGTGTCTAGACTCTAGAGAAGTTTATAAAACGTGTTACATACCTTTTTTACGAAAATTCTTGAAAGTACACAAGCATAACGCCTCAGAAAAAGATCCTCCACTATTTTGTTTTCGCCATTCATCGAAAATATTATATGCTGGGTGTTTACACGACTTTACTTTACCCTGAGATTCACATACGCCCCCTATGGGTAACCACATATTTGGTATTGAAAGTATAGGCTAATAGCACTCCATGCACTGCATGGTCTAAGGTCGTATTTACATAAGATAAGGCTTCGCACACAATAGAAAGTAAGTCCTAGTATACCTAGGATCACAATATACCCAAAATTTTCTAGGGATCTAAGGTTCCCAAAGGTTTTAATTACACCACCACCACCACCAATTTCACGTAATACGGCAGACTGCAAAAATAGGCAACTAATTCACCCAAGTCAAGAATAATAGGAAATCGTGCGACTCCATGAATTTCAAGAACCCTAGGACGGAATACTTTAAGGAACCCACCCGTTTTAGTAACCTTCATAACTTCAGGGTTTCTACGACCTATAAGGTCATAAGTGTCCGAAGAATTTTGAGTAGTGTAATATGCGACTACGCAATATCAACCTTCGCAGCATATTCAAACAGCCGTATCACTAGAAGGTGTGCCAAGAATTTTCAGTGTCTCAATCACAAATATCTTAAGCTTTCCAAGGATTTTAAACATTTCATACGATGGTACAGGATGGATATCTAACAAAGAATTACAGAAATATAGAACTATAATGACTCCAAGGGTAGCTAAAAGGATTACGAAAACCTTAAGGATAAGAACTGTTCTAAAGACTTCACGGATCCCACGCATTTTAAAGATAGCATGTCCTCTCAAGAGTCTCTAGAGTTCCATTTCATGACCCAATGTGGACAATAAGTACAAAAGTAATCATCAAGTTTCTACTCGAAAATCGTGCTTTGGTTTTAGTAAAATTTAAGGGAACAAAAGGTACGAGAAAGCCAATGCACGTTAGCCATGACAACAAAATTGGTTAGCAACAAGAAGTAGGTCTTTATTAATCAGACACTTCAACTGTAAATTTTGACTGATGAACTGAAGTAGAAATTTCATGAAACAACGCGAAGGATTTGACGAGGGAAGCAATCACGTTATAAATTTAAAGTATCATTCAACCAAACGCTGGAATAAACTTCTACGGCAGAAAAGCGTGATTTAATAAAGTAATACTGATACTGTTCTGTTATTCGCTTGAAAAATAAATGATCGAATATTAATTTAAGAAGCTATATGGGATACTTGATGCAAATTCCTTATACTCGTATATAAAAGTATTATATTTACAGCAACTACTGAATAGACGCCGAAAGATACGTTTTCGTAATCCATTGTTAAAGTTCAATGCAGGTGATGGGATGGGAAGTAGTTCGTTTCTGATTTCGTTCGAATCATTTTCCATGAAAACTATCTGAATACTATTCGGCTGTTTTCACCTTGTCATATTTGGATTTTAATCCGTAACAAACTTGTATGGTGTGGTGATATCTAAGTATGTTATGTACTGAAAGGATTTGCTTCGATAAAAAGACGCCATAAAATACCTATCCTAAAGAAATTAGCGCGCTTTGAACTTTATATAAGAACGTTTTCGTTTTCGATTAAACTTCCCACGATGTAAACACTCATCGCGTGTAAGCCCCCATCTCACCCTTCACGGTTGGTTTTGCAAGTCAGCATTATATATTTGGCCTCATCCTTTGTCTCTATGCCATTCATCTTCCTCCATCATCTGAAGCGAGTTTGTTTACGAATTAGTTACTTTCATTTATATGTCTCATGTGTTTATTTTGTAACGCAATTGTAATAAACTTGAAACTTTCTCAAGAGTAACTCCAATGTTCTAACTATTTATACAGCTTTGGGGTTTTACTTACAAGTTGATTAATTATGCGGAGCACATGTGTTAATAAATACACACAATGCTAAGGGCGGGAACTGTTCGCGTAAAAGACAACAGTTTTTGTGTGTTTGCAAAATAAGCCCAGATGTCCTACCTCTCAATGATTAAACACTGAGCCGTCTGCTCTTATGAAATATAACAGTAGTATTTATTTTGTTTTAATAGATCTATTCGCCAACACTAAGAGTAACCCAATAATCCAACAAAAAGTTGGTGTGAAAAATTCAATGGTCTTCCTGACATCTCTATCTACCTTTACTCGCTTGTGAGGGGAGAGAATTTGTCTCCAATAATCCTAAACCTGAAATTTATGCTAACAAAATGTTCATTAGATTATATAGAGTGGGTGTTTCTAAATGTCGTTAGGACTGTTTTCCTAGTCACCCTTTCATGTAAGTTAGAAGATGTTGCGAAAAAGCAGCCCTAAGCACCTTTACCCAACGGTAGTGTGGTAATCTTTGCCAAAATGTGTACATAAATCTACAGTGCATTTAAGTTTTTTATAAAATAAGAGTTGCTTGTCGTGATTCCCCATGCTCCAATCCGGCTAGGGCTTTTGGTGATTTTGTTCTCTCTTTTGCATAACGTACCCCTATTGAAATACATACTAGGTTTGAGGGAGGGAGTACGCAATGTACTGCCCTTCTAATACATTTAAAAACACGAAAGCGGCAGCACCAAAAAGTACCAACGCGTACGTGCTTTAATAAAATTTCGCCTAACAATAAACGTCCTTATCGCAACTGCCTTTTATAAAACACACAAATTTGACCAGATGCGTCTTACTTCTAACACTTTAGCTAAATTGAAGAATTATAATGCAATAAACAAGAATTACCCATCTACAAACATTTGTAAAAGGAAACACAAACACTGAGACACAAATTCAAGTAAAATAAACCAACTTTGTGTTGATTCGTAAATAAACCACTAGATTTGCAATTATAAATTGAAATTAAACCACATACCGTGTGCCCCATTATTACTGCTTGTACCAAAATATTGAACGACGTCGTAAAAAATACATCTCTTGCATACAATTCCGTTCGTTCATCTGTGCGTTTGGGATTTTGCACGGGAACTACATAGGAAATTTTGTATTCTACAGATTTCCACCTGCAGTTTACACAACAGTACATACAAATTTATTAATAATGAAGTAATGTCAAGTAGCATTGATTTCAGTCCGTCGGCCGCAAATTAAGACTGCATGAAGAGATCTAAAATGTTTGTCTATTTACGGTAACGTTACTAAATCTCACATAGGACAGAATAATGCAGTTGAGCTGCGTTGATAGCCCAAGGGTAGGATTACCTTAACCTTACTTGTAATATGTAGTAGCGCCCAGGTTGTTTTATGCGCATAAGGCTCTGTTGATGAATAAAGCAATTCCCTTCAAAGCAAAGTCAATCTTTATAAATTTGCCGCCTTTGTCGCTCTATAGCTAGACCCACTCCTGGATTGGACCAATTTTCAGTATTAGAGTTAATAGATAACTTTAATTCTGAAAAGAAATGAAGCAACAAGGGAATATTTACATTCTGCGTTGATTAACATATTCTGTAAAATAGCGTACAGAGCATTTATAATAATATAATTTTATCACATTTTAACACAAAGAAATGTAACGCTCCCTAAATTTATCGTCTGAACTCCACTTCAGACAATTACTTGTGAGTAAAGCTCCACCCCGCGCCGTGGTGTAATTTACCGCACTACAAAATTAATAACTTAAGTGCGGTTAATTATTTAGATACCAATGGGTTTACCGTAACACAATTAGTATACCAGTTCGTTCATACTTCTAAATAAAGGCATTACGCGAACCCCCGAATAATGCCGTAACACTTTTAGTATGAAATAATAAAATCCCCGTGTAGCCCGAGCTTGGGATAAACAGGGTGAAAAGTAAGATGATGATAAAGATAAACAAGAACACGTGAATAAGTAAAATTGCCGGGTCCTCTGGTTTTCGAGATAATGATTATAAAGAACCCCACTTTATGTGCTCTTAACGCCTAGCTACTCTGTCCTTAAAATGTCCAAAAGCATTATGTTTCATGACTTTATTACCTCAGTAGATAGCATGAAATATTTCGCAGAAAGGGAGTTTCGGTTTCTCTCCGTGAAACAAAGTTCGCGTATCCTTTGAAGTATACTTTAATTTATGGTGGAGGTTTGGTGGTATAATTTTAATAATTCTTCCCTTTTTTTGTTTCAGGTTCCTCGTCGCTTCTGCGGTGTCTTATTGTAAATAGTGCTGTGTTATTGCGAGTGATGTTTCGGTAACAATCGCACTTGTAAATAAAGTGCGAGTTTTTACAATCATATTGAAGAGCTTAACTAAACAAATTGTACATAATTGTAATTTCTGACAGATAAAATGTAAGTAATATGTTCTAAAAAATTTACAGACGTTAGTGTTATTTGCGAATATATAAATATATAAAACAATATGTGATAATTGCTGACGGCCAATCAGCGAACTAATTATGTGCATTAAAATTAAGTGTAGAACTCTAAAACTAATTGCAGTAGTTTCAAAACGTGCATGTAATATAGAAAGTTGTCGGACGTTTCAGTTTGTAAATGATGTGATTAATTATGTATATATTGAAGTAAACCAACTAATAAAATTAAATGTTAAAATATGTCATTTTATGGAATAAAATTAGTATAGCATAGTTACGATATTACGCAAGAATTCAATCTATCTTGACTAGCAAATCATGAAACAATCAAAGAAGGAACACGGCGATTTTTCAAACAAAGAGAACTATAGTTGATGACCGTGTTTTAAGAAAACTGCATAATTAATCAAAAATAACATTTGTTGTAGACTGATGTAAAACATATTTGTTACCTATTGTAAACCCAAACTGAAATAAAAACTTTGTTTAAAAATTGTCAAAATTACTAATATACATAAGGCGCTTGCTTCAGCTTCCAACGGTAAGTAAATAAATTATGGTATTGTTTTATTGATATATATCTACTTGTTTCTTGGCGGATCGAGCCAAGTAGGAGAAAACGTTCGGTATAGAAAATTGTAGATGGAAATAACGTCTCCATTTGGATCCTTTTAAGAGGTGGCGGTCATGGAAATGAGGAGAAACTAACGATGTAAGTAGGTGTGAAAAAAAATAATTGGGTTGTACCGGGGACCAAAATATGTTTTTCCAAATAATTCGAGCGTCAGAAATATGTAATTTGGGAGCTAAGGATCTAAAAGAAATTATGTTTGTTTTTAAATATTCCTATGCCAAAATAGTCATCATCTAAGCTAAATTTTGTATATGGAGGATTATCGATCTAATAACAAAATTCGAAAAAAAATCAGTCATGAGTCCCGTTACCATCGGAGGTGGTATACTTTGCGTATATAATACAAACAATATTTTGTAAAGGATAGTGTCACATATAGTTGAAGGTAGTCTCCCTTTGGCGTAAAGTTGACTAAACAGCTTCTACTGGTGATCCCCAGAAGATGGACAACAGACGAGGGGCAAGCCACTGGAATTCTGGTGTTCAACCTCTGGGAATTCATGGCAATTTTATGAAATTTATGGAACTCTTTTGGAATTCATGGAATTTTTATGGAGTTCATGGAATTTTTGTAGAATTCGTGGCATTTTTGTGAAATTCTGGTGGAATCTATGGATTCTGGTGGAATTCATGGAATTCTTGTGGAATTCATGGGACTTCTTTTGGAATTCATGGAAATCTTTGGGACTTAACTTGTAATTTTTATTGATTGCATTTGGAATTCTCATGAAATTGGAAGTCTTTTTACAAGCGCACGTTCAAACGGCTTTGTCAATTTCTTCAGGGCTTGACTTTGCGTTGTTGAAAACATCTACGATATTGTCAAGGTCTGTTTTTCTATTAAATGTTTGTAAATATTGTTGTTTTCCTTTTCCAAAAAATCCTGATGTTGTGTCGCAGCCGCTTATAGCATGAATAAATAAAATCGATTCTTTTAAATTGCGTATAATTGTGGATGATTGTAAGTCCTTTGAACTGTACATTCGTCGTTTCACATTACCGATAGCTTCTTTCAGAAATATAATGTCTCTTTCATCAGGTGCAAGTGCTGCTAATAAAACAAGAAGATCGACGTCTTGTCGGACAACTAGAACTTCATTTTTCTCACTTATTTTAATGGCAGTACGAACAATCTGGACATCAGCATCATCTACTGCAACTGATGTGCTGATATTCTCGCTATTCAGGTGTATAGCAAGCTGCGAAATGAGTCGTTCCTTATTTTTAATATTACCCAGGAATTTATTTTTCTGTTCGACCAATAATGTATTGCTATTAAAGACAATTTCACGACTCGAACGCTTCAGCAATCGCCTTTCACGTTCGACGCATTTTGTGCTTGTACTATTTTCAGTGTAACCGTCGAATACCACAGTAACTTTTTGACCATAGCGCTTTCGAATAAAATTGGTATATGCAGTATAAACATCCAAAAATGTACCTTCTTTTGGCCACTCCATGCGGTGGATAAGAAAACCACCGTCAAGAACAACATGATAATTTGCTGTGTTGATTTCTCGTTCCGCAACTGCATTAAAGATATCATAAAATATGGATTTTTTCGTCTTTCTCATCATTCCAGTGCTGTCAAATAAAGATAAAGGTACAGAAGCAAGTTCATGCTTGAAGCAAAAGCGCAAATCCTCTGGAGAATGGATAGTGCATAATATTCTTTGGAAAAGCTGGGTGGAATCGACTTGAATAATATCATTGCCAACCTTAATTTTCCCAGCTGGCGAGGCCATGGTCCTTACTATGTTTGCACGCTTCAATTTAACTGTCCCAAATTCACTGCCTACAGTACCACGCAGAATTTTCTCTCCCACAGTTTTCGCTTCATAGCAATTGGTTTTCTCCTCGGCCACAATACCAGTAGATATTGAAATAAGATTCGTTGTAATAGTAAACGGAGAGTGTTCTCGGAGCCACTGCTCAAATTTTCGACAATCTTGTTCATCTGTCTGTATTCTTGAGTCTCTCATTTCTACATGCTGATCTGTGGTGACTGGTGTGATATCGCAATATGTTTCCACAGCTTCGCATACATGGTGGGTAGATGGCATTCCAAGAATCCATTTATTTAGAACACTTTCTGAAAATCCTCTTCCATGAGTTAAACCACCAAGGCTTTTCATGCCTCTCATAAGCGTTTGCTCAATGGTCATATCTGACCAAATTCCAGACCAATGTTTTTCTGAACGGCGAATTGTAAAAAAACCCTGCTGTGTAAATTGCTCATATTCCTTATTAGTCATTACTTTAAAAATATACTACCCTTGTTGCCCTTGTAACAGTCGTACAATATTTTAACATCTAAAAGTGTTTTTATTCATTAAATTAAAATCATGTTTGATTTGTAAAGTCAAATAAACAAAAATTCGGTATAACCCACCTGCACTGAAAGCAACCCCTAACTTCGATCGCTCGTTGCTCGAAATTCATTGAATAAAACAAGATAAATATAAGAACCTTTTTTATAGGAAATTTTATAAGGAACATTTTTAGTGGGAATTAAATTTTCTGTGCGACCAATGGTTTCGGAGAAAAACGAGAAAAACCACCGCAATGCTCGTTAGGGGTAGTTTTTGGGGGTGAAGCTCACACTTCTAACTTAAGAACTTTTTGGATTTTAAAAAGTTTCCTTTTGGTGCGTATAATCTCAATATTTCAAAACTTTATAATTTTTTTTTTCTATTTATGCTAATATCAATGGACTATACTCCAAATTAACTAAAATATTGCACCACTGACCTTCACAGTCATAAAAGTAAACATTTCTCCTCGCGTTCCCTCAACGTTTCCATAAATGTTGTAAAAAAATAAATCATTATATGTAAAGTCCTCTATATTAACAACATTAATATCCACTTAACATTTCTCTTAGAATAAAACAAAACGTGAATGATATTATTCAATTATGGAATTAAGGAAAAAGGATCAGTTCACAAAACAAGTAAAAAGATTTTCGCCCTAAGGCGAGTAACTTCAGCGCATTTTCCATGAATTGATCAGTACTTCCTAAAAGGCCATAGCTATGTGCGCTATGTTTTTATCAATGTGGTTAAAATTTCAAAGAAATATCTTCATAAATGAGCAAGGAAGGACATATCTTCGGAGATATCTCGATAAATAAGGCAATTGATATTGCGCATCCTGCGCAAGCGCACATTAACCTGATGTTTACAATATGCGATACGTTTGCGTTTCCTAGAAGCTTCTGTGGTTAAAATTTCAAAGAAATATCTCCATTAATCAGTAAATTGACATTGCGCAGTCCGGGTATGCGCAGTTTAATCGTCAAGATTGACCTTGGGTCAGGTGCCAGAGCTATACGCTACCGAATGCAAAAAGAACAAACTAAATATCTTGAAAACTGTAGGAGTAGTCAGACGAACGGACAGATAAAGTGTACAACACATTTTGAAAGTGTCTTTTTTTGCTTGATTAACTTGGGCTTCACTCTCGACTTCACCCTCATTTATCAAACTGCAAATTCATAAAAAAAGTATCGCTTTTAAAGCTAGTTGTACAAATATCTAAGATGACATCTTTTGTGCAAACAAAAAATTCATTTTGTCATCAGCTGACAAATCATTTATAGTAAGAAGACGTTTATCCTCCCCACTTAAATGTTGTCCGTTTCGGATATACAAGAAGGCAAACTCGTGTCGACTTATACAATGGTCGTTTACATACGTAAAGTCTTAACTCTGTCTCTATTTCATACTCGTAACTAGCGAGAGACGAAAGGGGAATCGTGACTTCTGCTCGAATTTCTGTCAACATCACAGATTTCGGTGTCGTTTACTTGCACTAGATTGCGTGTTGTAAGTTTATTATGCTGCTAATAATATAATATAGGATCCGGATTATACAGGGTGACAATTTGAAAACTTACCACCCCCCATATCTTAGTAAATAAACGAGATATTAAAAAAATCAAAATACGTTTCGGTAATTCGGAGGGGGAATCACAATGACATAGTTGGCGACGCACTCCCTCACACCCCCTGCGCCCTAGCCACCCCAACTTTTAAATCTTAAATAGTGACTCCCCGTTGTGTGATACGTCATTGGAAAGCTCTGAAAAAATGCTTTCCAACCATACCAAATAGCATTACATTTAGGTTAGTAATTATCGTGCAAATCAAAAAATAAACATGGAAAATCGTATTTAACTTGAACTTCCAAAGCCGACTCGACAGCAACTCATTTTTGATCGCCAGTTATAATCTATTCTCAAACTCTTGTCGAACCTTTTCAAATGTTGGTTTTGCAATATTTCGACATTCTTGAATTATTCTCTGTCTTAGTTCGTCTATGTTCGCCGGTTGCGTTTTAAATACGACAGATTTCAAATATGATATTAGTTTATTTTTTGATTTGCCCGATAATTACTAACCTGCTATTTGCTATTTGGTATGGCTGGAAAGCATTTTTTCAGAGCTTTCCAACGACATATCACACATGGGGGGTCACTATTTAAGATTTAAAAGTTGGGGTGGCTGGGGCGCAGGGGGTTGGAGGGGGTGCGTCGCCAACTATGTCATTGTGATTCCCCCTCCGAATTACCGAAACGGATTTTGATTTTTTTAAATATCTCGTTTATTTACTAAGATATGGGGGGGTGGTAAGTTTTCAAATTGTCACCCTGTATAATAAAGACAGGCTCTTTACTATCATCGAATGGATACGAATGTATTGACGTACTTACGTTTTGCAAAAAACACATTTTATTTTTTAAGGTCCCTGCAATTCATTGGAATTTTTTTGGAATTCACTGGAATTTTTTGGAGGTCAATGGAATTGTTTGGAATTCACTGGAATTGTTTTGCAGTTTTGACAGCC